TCTTTTTTTAATTTTTATTATTTATTTTAAGTTCTTTAATTTAATCCTTATAGGGGGAGTAATTCTACTCTGAGATATTATTGGTACTCAAAGGTACGGGTCGCGATCAAATTGATGTGTTATTTCGCTCGGAAACAAAACAAGAGATAAGTAGAGGAATGTTAGAGAGCAAGCAAGAAAAGCAAAAGAAGGCATAGAGAACATTGAAAGTGAGGACCCTTCCTCCTTGTGAGGGTTCAACCGTTGTATGAGGCGCAGCAGAATACGCGGTGCAAAAGAGAGTAAACGGAAAAAGCGGGTTGTACGAGAGGACAAGAACACCACGTGCGCTGCAAGACAAGAATGGCAGCGGTCGCAGCGGTCAAGGGGAGCATTGGTGCGATTGTGGCCCAATTTTTTGGCATTACAGTGCCGCGACCCCTGCGCCTAGGACCCTGCTAACTCACATACAGGGAGGATTTCTCTAAAGATTGATCGCATCCTGCTATTTGAACTTATTTAACAGAATGGCCGGCAGTTTAGCTTTGATCGACGGACAGTGCAGACACAGGATAGCGCCTCAAACCATGATACACTATCAAAACCCAGCAACTGTAAGCCTACACATCAAGTTGAAATGGTATGAACTTATCTACCAAATACCATGACACGTCCTCTAGGACTATGAATAGCTTCCTTAGGTCTAGAGACATGACGGTGGAAGATTTGAAAGATTTCAAAATTCAAAAATGATTTCGAAAGAGGAAGGTTGTTTAGTAGAGCAAATAATGAGAGCATGGGCCTTAAAGGAGCCCTTCTCCCCCCCCCCTCACCCATAGAGCACAAAACGGAGGGAATAGGCTACTTGTAAGATCCAAAGCCCTATGCCCTATTGCATGGAAATTGAGCGGTCGAAGTGGCGAATTCATTTCAAGACTCTATCGAGTTAGTGAAGAAAAATGGCGAGGAACAACGGAACAGAGAAAATGGAAACCGTCGAAGCCGAGAAACGAGAAAAGTGCCCGGAAATGCTTTCAGAGCTTGCTGTATCCGATGAGGGCAACTTGTGGCGCTCTCACCAAAAAAAAAAGAAAAGCCCACGGCTCATGATGAAAACTGAACTTAAAACCTGTTCTTGTGAAGCAGTTCAGCCGCCCAATTCCGGGGTTTTTTGGAAATTTCCAGCGGAAAATATCGAAAAATAGATCAGCGCAAAATCCAGCTGGACTCGTTCGATGTTACGCAACAGAGTAGCGCGATCAAATTCGCGCTGCCGGCTGAGATGACGACAGATGGAGAGGGACTTACGGTCCTTGTGTTCTTTACGGATATCGATCGGAGCGCAACACTTGAACGCAGCAGGGTTCTCAAGAGCGCCCCGGAAACCGATTGACTCGGTGCCATAAATTCCGAATGACAGAAGGCCGCTAAGGATAAACTGCCAATAAAACCTTGAAAAACACCAATTCGGTTGCGAATTAGTTCCTGCAGCAGATAGGATATCCAGGAGATATACAGATATTGGGTACGTTCCGAGTACATGCAGGTATATCGATTCGTTTTATGGTCAATATTGCTATCGCTTAGGAAGCATTCATACTCGGCGTATTAGGAGCATAAGAGAAGCTGCGAAAGGATCAGACTTATGCCGGTTTTCTAATTCTTGTAAAGGCATGCCCCAGGATCATTAAGAGAAAATATCTGCAGCTTCAGCAGCTTATTTGCTTTGCAAGGCCCAAGCGCTCTTGTCGGTTGGTTTCCGTGCACGGAACGCCACATTTGTGATTGTCCTCTAGGGGTCTATACTACAGACCGAAGGGAAGCGTTCACACGACCTCTGCCTGGGTTGTGCCTTAGAATGATGGCGGATGGATGGTGTGAAGACGACTTTAGCGACTAACTCCGAATAGGTAACCCACACATTGCCCATAATGTATGTCACCGACGATGTTCGTTCATTGATGAGTGCAAGATACGATCAGTTATCAATTTACAAAACAAGAGTAAACGCAGAAGAATCACGTTATGGAAGCGATTGGGAATGCCAGACCACGCCCATTTTCTATCGCTTGCACCCTCTCCTCTGAGGTGGTCTCTAGCGAGACTTGAATAAAGGCACAATTTACGATGGGTAGTGAAATGTTGTGGATAGGCTGAAAAGTTATGAGGGACGTAGACTATGCGACACAAACCGTCGTTCTTAAGATATAAACGATGCCCCCTATCGTATTTACTTTCCAGAGAGGACGAATCAATGGTCGGAAGAAAAATTTGGAAGTTTCTAGAACCCTACCTTCGAAATGTTCTAACCATAGGCTCTTGCAACATTATGAGAAATAACCTCCTCACGCTAAATAGATGAGGAAAGCTGTTCAGATATGCAAGACAAAATTTTCTGCTTCCGAAGGAATTTATAGCTCCATTTTAAGGAGCCATAAATTCCTCATAAGCATCCAATCGAGAAAAGGTGGGGCGCTGTAAGCTAGACGATGTGCTCACGTCAGGAGCACACCCGACGATCACGGTAGTGCGCTTAATTCGTTCGAAAATGGAAGCATAACTGGAATTGAAGTGCAAGTCACTGGTCGCACTATTTCAGGGACGCGCCATGCATTCGACATCAAGTTCCCGGTGACGCGGTTTCCACCCCCTCCTGAGCGGGCTACAACTGCAGTTCACTGCTGATTACGTCACCTACTACTCCCTCCCTTCCTACGGACGAAATACGATCTCTATCTCATTGAGAACTTCCTGACACACGCGCTTGACGTGGGGTGAGGAGTGATGGGTAGGTTATTCAGTTCCACACTAACTGCGTGGTTCCCGTCAGGTGTACCCAGCTTGATACTTCGTTATATCAAACTCATGAGGGTATCTATTGCGGGTTTGAAGAGCCAGCAAAAATGATTATACCAGGTATGACTTGCGTATTTCATACATTATACGAAGTTATTTAAGGGATTCTCCTTTCGATATGTTCATACTCACAATGATTTTTATGATTCCCGAATTTTTTTTTAAACTCCACCTTGCCGGTTGCCATACATCATTTATAACCCTGATGGGCTTGCGGACAGTACAGATAGAAGAAAAATGATGCATAGCAACCACCAATCAAGAGGCGTCCGCCCGGAGCAGGGGGTCAACCTACGTTGGACAATAACTAAAGGGATCGTAGTTTTGTTATTTGTGGGGTGGGTCGTATTGTTTTCGTAGCAATGAAAATGCATGAAAGTATGAGAGCCGCGGCGGAACCTCCTCGCGGCGTTTTTTCAGGAAAAGAAGTGACGAAAGGTCACGTAGGAAAATCTGTCATTAAGGGGGGCGTTAAATTTTTTCAAACAGTTCACGCTGCAACTCTTTGTGAGAGAGCAATTCGCGATCAAACGCGATCAAATTTATCGCGAAAAAAATACTTCTATCAATATCATAATGTGTTATTATTGATATCATTATCTGTTAATCCACCATGCTTTTGCAGTATTCTGGAACATTAAAAAACCGAATTTCATTGGAACACGAAATTAATGATGTTAAGTTTATTAATAACACTCGTTCAATGATAACGCACAAAAGTGATGTGAAGATATGAATCGGTTAAAAATTGTATTAGGAGCTCAAAATATGGAGAAGTTTGTTTCTAGTCAAATAATAGCGATTTGTGAGAAAATATATCGATCGTGATCTATGCTGCTTTACTTCTCTCACTCATTGAAAGCTTGCCCATGGATTGGCAGACTGAAAAAATATTATGACGAACTGAAATTTGCAAAGAAACCATAACCAGATGAGGATGGCAACAGTAAGTAAGCGCGCGTCGCCAGCCATGCTTATCATAGTGTTTAGCATTGTTTCAGGCATACCCAAACAATCATGCAAGCAGTTGGCGGCGATTAGTTTAGTGCTAACTACATTCATTTTACCTTGTCTTAACTTTCTTCAGATACCAGATTAGTCCCCCGTCAACCGCCGGGACCTTCCTTTCCTGCGCAAGCTTTCTATCCTCCGCTATGGTCCCTTCCTCCTGTGACACCAACACCTGGAAGTGACGCGTATGCAACACAATGGTGTTTCATACAGTAGAAGGGACACAATCATGATATGACGGTAGATTTTTCGCTTCCCTTCCTCATCCTCCCTTCCTCTCTCCACTGCCCTCCAGCTGCCACTGCAGCACCATGTGGAATGAACGGAAGTGTGCTAAGCAGGTGTTTATATAGCCCTAAGAGTGTTATCACAACTATCCTGCTACAAAACATTGATATCTCAAATCCTGTAAGCTACCCGATTTGTTAGCGGTTTGTTTATCCCATGAGCTTCCTTCTCACTCACTTCATTTTGCGGACGGACACACATACATACACATACACACACACACACACACACACACACATACAGATACACAAACCGACACACAAAGTTAGCGCTTTATATAATAGAAGGATCCCTGTGATTTACCAGGACTTCCTGAACTCCTGCGACAATGCATTATGGTAGACGGTAAATCGTTGCACAACATGCCGCTCTTATCAAATCGACCAGTGTACTGAAAACTATTACAAATTCAAGTTCGTTAGCTAGCATGCTATCCTTCCCCCAGTGATCGTTGCTGCCACTAACCATACGTTTGAGAGGATTAGGAATCGTCATAGCCCGCCTGCATTTGTACCCTTCCAGACGATTTGAACGCTCGACCTTTGGAATATCCGCGTTACTTCCAACAGCCAGTCGACACATCAACCAAATCAGTGGCGGCCTGCGCAGCGTAAAACCCTGCTTCTCATATTTTCGAAGCTGAGGCCCAAATACAGTCGATGGTAGGGAGATTGTTTCATTTCCGATTGTTGCCCTTTCACATGTTGAATTCGGCGCATTACAATACAATTGATGAACAGAAATAATTGGAATGCAGGCCATCAGTGATGCGGTCCCGTATCATAACATACGTACGGGTTACCGACAGAAGGTCCCGTTCGGAACAGCGAAAGGCGAAACACAGACGGATCGCGACGATCGCGGCTCTACTGGTACGGAGAATTCAAGTTTAATACGTCCTAAAAATCCCTAAATTATTCCACGACAAGAGCCGTTGGTTTCACGGCACGAGCTCAAAAATATGGCATCTGATTAGTAGCGTTGCTTTTGTTTATTTTCTTGGTCTGCTACGTTTCTCTTGACTGAATTACTAACGAGTGCTTCTTCTTCATATTTGGGGATAGGTATTGATTTTACGCGCGCAGTGTATTCCCATTTTTCGCCACTATTTACTACCAGCCTAGAATATTGAGACCTATTAAGAGATAAGCTACTCAACACCTATGCCGAGCTACTATTCATTAGTTGAAGAAATCATGAAAATGCTCCTAGAGACTTCTCCTTAGGGAAGCGCTAAGGGCTACGCTTTGAAAACATAGGAAGTGTAGTTTGAGAAAATTTCAGAGAGATAAAAACCAACCAGTTCATTATTCAACGCTGTCATCTGATACTCGGATGGACATGCTTGGGCGGATCGTAGCGCATCCTCTGAACTAGTAGATTTCTGATCTTGTTGCGTCAGTGCATGTGCAATTTCGCTTTTTGTGGGCTTCTCCAGTTTGATTTGGTCCTGGAAATAATCAGGTTTCTGAGGAAATTCAGAGGAATCAGAGGAAGGGAACTCACCATAAAGTATTCAGAAACGGCACGATCTACTGGTCGGAGCTCTTGAAAACTCTCTGCTTCTTTGAATTGCTGGTTGTTGTTGTTCTTCAATATTACGATTTAAACTTACTGAAGGCGTTTACGATGAGAAGGTAGCTTATTGGAAATAAGGGTAGAGGTGGTCAGTGGAAGCAGGGATGAAGAAGAAACCATTGAAACGGCCCGAAACCCGAGAAATGGGACCCCTTCCTTGCCCGTTGATTTGCGCATTGATGCGACTCTCATCGCTGTGCCCTCTTCAACACTACGCTCTCTCTGCTATCTAATCACTCGCCGCGTATAGACCTGCGGCGAGTGATTAGATAGTCGGTGGGCGTTCCGCGCCAACTGCGCCGAAGGCCATGTTAGATCGCCGGGGGCACATCCTTCGATGCGAATTTGCTTAGGGGGTGCCTGTCTTTCCGCTAGGTATGTTTCCCCTTCTTCGACATTCGTTCTATCGTGGAATAACCCTTTGAAGGCTAGACACCACTGATTTCAAGCGTTGCAGTCCTCGGCCCGCACTGTCGACCTGTTCCTTATCAACGTTAACATTATCCGCAGAAGGCGAGGTCGGGCTTACGGTTAGGTCTTCTCTTTGAAGATTACAGGTTTCACAACCTTTCATTCAAGGCAAGATGAGCGCTGTGTTACTGAACTTGAGGACATCACTGAGCAGTGAGCCTAGGAGAGGAGGATGAAGCTTCCAGGGAGACAATGGAAATGACCTCACACTTTCCTTTTTAGTCAATCCTGACGGTACGCTTGATCTGATGTGGAGGGTTTCTGAAGAGGAAAAACTGGCGTCTTGTGCCTTCTTCCAGTGACGCCAATCGTTCGGAGTAAACAGAGTCCAAATCAAAGTGAATTGTAGATGATGCCTCAACAGAATTAAATGAAAATGATTAAACCGCCGAGATGGCGCTTATCCTCCATGCATTAGCGTTGGCAGCCTGATACGAATGAATGAAGAAAGTGATGCGCGAATAAAATATAGTAGGTGAGAAAGAGGTGAGATGTAAGAGACGACAGCAGACACAAACACGCGGCCTACACGTCCACTTAGAGGATAGAGGAGAAACACCCGGTTTGTGATCGGATGATAGCAACGCACATACTACCTCGTAAGTGAGTTAGACAATGCGCCGCTATGCTACCTTGGCGTCCATGTCCTAAGGGGATACATTCAATGAAACGCATCTAAAACCGCTAGTATGTGACACTAAGACCAAGCCCAACAGAGGGGAGGGCGCTCATATCCTCCATGGGGGGACATTCAGAGCAGAGCATTCAAAAACCGGTGGTAGGTGACACTAGGACTAAGCCCAGGACTGGGAATAAATACAAGAGAGAACGATGGTTGCTCCAAAATCCTATCCCCTCCCTAAAGCTTAGTCCCAAGTTCTATCAGTGGCCCACTCATTTCATGTCCTCCATAACGACATGAGCGCCGAAGGTGAGGAAAACGCCAGAGAGCAGAATTACTACTGGTTCTTCGGGCCAGAGCTCTTCCTCCCTAAGGCCTCGTTTTAGATCCTAAAGTCTACGGCTCACTAACTTCAGTGTCCCCCCCCCCCCCCCGACATGGCGCACTACGTTTCAGTGAGTCACTAATCTTCGCTGGAAGAGCTTTCTAAACTGCAGGTCACGGTCAACCAAACCCTGGAAATGGAACAAAATACGGGGAAAAGATCATTGGTCATGCCTTGTGGACCATTGAAAGACTAGGAAATGTAACCTGTTATGAAAGGAAGAATGAATTCACTTACATCGAAACCTTTGACCATATCCTGATTGTTCCCTGCATAGCACTGTTCGACGCATTGAAGTGTGCAAAAATGATGCACACCACACGATAAGTCATCTCAGTTGTGATAATCATCGAGGAGCGCTTCATTCAGTCTTTAGGCCGGCCCTGCATGGTTACAAGGCTTCTGTCAACCAAAGGGTGAGAGCGTAGCTGGAAAAGCACACACTTTGTGTCTTATTGGGACTAAGCCTTTTGAAGAAGATAAAGAAAGAGGAGATGCTGTGATAGTGTGCACTTGTGAGAGCTCCCAGACATCACTACAAAACGCTGAACCGCCAAGGCTCACGGTTGACAGATGTCCTGAGACCGCCCTTCATAAATTTTTTTGGGAAATTCTGTGAATTCGCTAATGATAGTTACTCGGCGCCCCGGCATGAAGGATTACGGCAAATTTTTACTGCATCCGTCCCACAATCGTTTTCAGCGACTCAGCGAAAAGGGTTGGGAGCACATGGACTGGACTATACTCCTCCTCGCTAAGATGCCCGTCATACTCGGCGATAGTGTAATCGCTCCGCAATCGCGATCGCACTATCGCCCTTGCGAAGTGCAATCGCTCGGCCATCGCGATGGTGCCATCGCACTTGCACTTTGCTAGGCTGAAGTGCGATCGCGTTGCGGATCTATTGCACAATCGCCGAGTCTGACGGGCATCTAAGAGGATGCCCTGGACTTCTCATTAAACTTTGACAGGAGATCTAGGTACAACGACATCCTTGAACGCTGATTACAAATCTGGAAACAAAACTGCTACTTGAGCTTTCAATGAAAGTTGCAAACCTTCAAAGTTGGCAAGAGAGCGTTAGTGAGGGAGGTCATGCTTTGCAGCTGCCTTGCAGTCCGGAACAGATACGTATTGATCGTGCGACCACGAATTTGACACGATTACCACGATTGATACGTATCCGTTAAACATCTCAAACTGCATCCGATTTGCGAAGTATGAATGGATCCTAGCCTGTGTAGAGCTGCGGTCGTCGCGGCGCAGTTGAACATAGATTAAAACCGAATCGTGCTTTGCTCCTCTGCAAGCTGTAGCTCTTGTTTGCTCCCCCATCAATACGCGACTTTTTTACGCAATGCTTTACTTACAAGGAGCGTTTCATTATGAAAGGTGAACAAACGGTGTCAAAACGGGTGTCGTTCCCGTGATCTGTAGCGTCA